TTCTCGTGTACGTCGACGACTTGGTCTTTGCTACTGCTGACACTGAGGCACTCGCTCGTGTGAAGTCGGAGCTGCAGAAGAGACACACCTGCACTGACCTGGGTGAACTGCGTAGCTACCTTGGCTTGCAGATCACCCGGGACAGAGCTCGCCGCACCATCACCCTGACTCAGTCACACATGGTGCAGCAGGTCCTTCAGCGCTTCGGCTTCCAGTTCTCCTCACCACAGGCCACACCTCTGGCTACCAGCCACTCGCTCTCAGCTCCACCTTCGGACGAGTCCGTAGAGCCGAGTGGCCCGTACCCAGAGCTTGTAGGCTGCCTCATGTACCTGATGACTTGCACGCGACCTGACCTCGCGTACCCTCTTAGCATCCTTGCTCGTTACGTTGCGCCTGGGAGACACAGGCGAGAGCACTGGGAGGCTGCTAAGAGGGTGCTGCGTTACCTGTGCAGTACATCAGGCATGGGGCTGGTGCTTGGAGGACGTGACAGAGTTGTCCTCACTGGTCACTCGGACGCTTCTTGGGTGGACGACCTGGCTACGCAGCGGTCGTCACAGGGTTACACCTTCAGCCTTGGCTCTGGTTCTGTCTCGTGGCGGTCCACCCGCTCTTCCTCTGTTCTCGGCTCTAGTTGTGAGGCTGAGATCTACGCCACAGCCATGGCTGCACAGGAGTTACGCTGGCTCACCTACCTGCTGACTGACTTGGGAGAGCGGCCTAGTTCTCCTCCAGTTCTGTACGGTGACAACAAGGCGGCTCTTGCCTTGTGTCAGGAGCACAGACTGGAGCACAGGACGAAGCACATTGCTCTTCGCTACTTTCTTGCTCGAGAGCTTCAGCAGCGCGGTCAGCTTCGGCTTGTGTACGTGGACTCGAAGGCCAACACTGCTGATATCTTCACCAAGGCGCTCCCGCCTAGTGATCATCAGCGGCACTGTACTTCTTTAGGCCTTGTGTCCACGTTTCCTCACTTGCTCACTGCTTGACATTCTTTGTACTGTACTTTATATATATCTTGTTGCTTGCTTGCTAGGTTTTGATCACTGTGTTGCTTGTCTTGTACTATATCTAGCACTGCATGTGAACTGGCCTTGTGGCCTTTACTTGTGCTCGGAGTGTGGTGACGTTGTGATCCACCCTGGGCTTTGCTTTGCTTTGCTGGACTGGTCTTGTGACCCTTTGTTCTCCCCCACTTTGCCTATGGGGGTGTGTTAAACTGTATTATGCTTGTAGGCTGTAGTGGGGTAGCCAATATGGGGTACAACCCCAACTAGGGTTTCATATTTGTACCCAAACTTCTGCTAGTTCAATCATTCTTGCCTAGCTATTCTGAAAACTGGAACTCTGAAATTTCCCAAACTATATGGATCGAAAAGGTTATAACCAAGTGTTGTAGAATTAAAAGGCCTAATCTAGTGGACTGGCAAGAATATGGCACTAACTGCATCTCTACAAACATACGTAATGCGCTGGTCAGTTTGGTCGGTATGCGCGCCTGTAGTGCAGGTACCATGTACGACTGGAATGTCTATATCTGCGAAATTATAAAGATTCGATAGGTTAAAATATCATAGTGGGGTGGGGAATAGTATAGTTTTGTAGGAAATGAAAATACATATGGTATTCGTTGTGTTTGTACAGAGAGAATAATGCGTCGGCCGGTAAGGTCAATACGCAAGCTTGTGTGTAGGTACAAGGCGGAGCTGGAACTCTGAAATCTCCCAAACTATGTGAATCAGAAAGGTTATAACCTATTGTTGTTGAAGTAGAAGGCCTAATCTAGTGGACTGGTAAGAATATGGCACTAACTGCATCTCTACAAACTCGTAATGTGCTGGTACCATGTACGGTTGGAATGTCTATATCTGCCCAATTACATAGATCTGATAGGTTAAAACATGGTAGGGGGGTGGGGAATGATATAATATAACAGAAGTGGAAATAAATATGGTATTCACTGTTTTTTTCAGAGAGAATAATGCGTCGGCCGGTAAGGTCAGTATGCACGCTTGTGTGTAGGTACAAGGCGGAACTGGAACTCTGAAATCTCCCAAATTATGTGGATCGGAAAGGTTATAATCAAATGTTGTTGAAGTAGAAGGCATAATCTAGTGGACTGGCAAGAATATGGCACTAACTGCATCTCTGTTAACATAAGTAACGCGCTGGTCCGTTTAATCGGTATGCGCGCCTGTAGTGCAGGTATTATGTACGACTAGAATGTCTATATCTGCCAAATTACATAGATCCGATAGGTTAAAACATGGTAGGGGGATGGGAAATGGTATAATTTAAAGGAAATGGAAATGCAAATGGTATTCAGTGTATTTGTTCAGAAAGAATATTGCGTAGGCCGGTAAGGTCAATATGCACGCTTGTGTGTAGGTACAAGGCGGAACTGGAACTCTGAAATCTCCCGAATTATGTAGATCAGAAAAGGTAATGTCCTAGTGTTGTGGGGGGGGAAATGGAGTCTAGGTCGACGTGCAGCAAGTCTTAGATTCGAGCTTTGTTTCGTCCAAGTCCGTTTCCGCTGCTAATTCTGACGCGCTCTTGTGTGTGCTTGTTGTTGTTGTGTGTGCTCTGGTGCGGTTCGGGTGCCTGGTGGGCTGAGAGGCGTGGAATGGGCGTCATAGGGATAGAAACTGTTGCTCCTAGCAATGGAATGGCCTAGGGGCGTGGAATGGTGCGTCGCAGGGGCGCAAAGCCGTGGCCTGGGTGCTCACTGGCACTCAAAGGGGCGTGCTGACAGTGCGTTTAGGGAAGGTGTTTGCCGTGCAAGTGAGGCGTGGGGGTTTCCCTTCTGAGTCATCTCAGGCAGTGGCTCACCAATAGTAAGTAGCTGGGCAGGTCTACTGGGGGGCAGAGTAGTCGAGGTCGCCGCGCGGCAAGTTTGTTTTCTTTCGAGTCCGTTTCCTTTGCAGCTTCTGACGTTCCCTCCTGTGTGCTTGTTGCTGTGCTGTGTTCTCTGGTGCTGGTGGGTGCCTTGTGGGCTGAGAGGCATGAAATGGGCGTCCAAGGAACTGAAAGTTTAGCTCCCGGGGGTGGTGCATCCCAGAGATGCACTGGCGTGGCTTGGTGGTCACTCGCACCCAGAGGGACAGTACAGGCAGTACAAGCAGTACAGGCACACCCTTGAATGGCTGGGCGTATCCCATCCTCGTCCTCCCTTGCATGTGCAAGGCATCAAGTGTGTTATTGCACTGGGGTGGGAGGAGCAACGTAGCATGGCACCAAGTCTTTTGAAGGTTCGTGCTGCAGTGCAGAGTCTTGGCTTCTCTTCTCTTCTGGCTTGTCTTTCTCTGTTTTCTTTCTTCTGCTGTCTCTTAGCTTTCTGTAGTGACCTGTATCGTCCAATGTTTCAGTCATACCATTTTTGCCCTCGAATTATCTTGGTTTTCTCGAGGTCTGAACGCATGTCCTTCCAACGTTTTCCCCGTAAATTTCTTTACCACCCTTCTCCCCACCATCATGCAGCAGGCGTGGTTGTAGCAACACAATCAACTTGCATGCAGTAGAACTAGAGGACAGGAAGGGAGGAATGGAGAAGGGAAGATGGGAAGGAGGGAATGGGGGAAGCAGGGAACGGTAGAAGGGACGATGAAAGGGTTGTCAAAAACAAACAAGGTAAATATCATCCCCCTTGCTGCGCCCACCCACCCACCCACCCATGCTTGCCATATTGTGCTGTCGACTGAGTCCCTCTACCCTCCCGCCTTCAAACCGCACTTGTGCCATTCAACTCACAAGCCACACACCATATCAAGCTACTCCCTCTTTGCAGCCTTCTCCAAGTTTACTTGTTTGTCTGCTGCTTACTGGTTATACCTCATTGCCATGCTTCTTTCTCCTAGACCCACTAATTCGACACTTCAGTTGCACAAATGCATGCCATTTTCTGCTCGTTTTAGTCATGTTACTGCTACTTTCTTTCAGCTGGCTTCCTTTTGTTTCTACCTTATATCTCTTGCCGCTCCTACTCCCTGCTACTTTTACCGGTACCTTATTTTCCCCCACTAACGCATCTTCCATCCTCTCTGTAACGTATCTTTTTCTTCCCTTGGCCGGTCAGCAGAAGCCAACAGGAACACCAACAACCGGAGTGAAAGTAGCAGTGATGTACCAGTACCATATGCATAACAGCAGTAGAAACTGCAGCAGCGGGGTAGTGGGCCATGGTTCATAGGCAAATGACCTGCAAGGAGGATGGTGAGGTATGGTGAGGAATGGTAAGGTATGGTAAGGTTCACCCCACCCAACCAAGCCAGGTCAAAAGAATCAAACAAACCAACAAAGAAAGCAGCAGGTCTAGCCAAACAGACATGCGCCCTAACAAGAAGTGAAGACCCAAGCAAAATTAAGACCCACCCAGGGATGAATGTGCACAGCCCATTTACAGGAGATAGTCACCACACCCAAACAAATAAACAGGGCACGTGACATGTCAAACCAAGAAAAATACTCCCTCCTTCCTTACCCAACTAAGAAGACACCACAGCACTGTCATATACTGTCACACATCATCACCTACTGAACACGGATGCTCATCTTGCATCATCAAACCAGCACCATCATGTAGCATCAACATCACCCAACCAACAAAAGTGTTCATACATTGTTACCCAACAGACACAACTGCTCATAGAGCATCACTTAACAGACACATCTCCTAATGTAACAGACGCAGATGTTCATCCAGAATCATCCAAGAGTCGTTGTTGCTCCTACAACATCTAACTATACACACACAAATTCATGGTACGGTACGCCCAAATGAGACACAATGCTGAAAAGGGTTTTTATTTTAACTGATAATACAAATCTTTAGACTCTCATACACTGAGTAAAGGGTAGAATGGCTGCTGGCTATGTATCTTCCAGGTATACCGGTATGTGTTATTGTTGTCCTGGAATAGACAGTGTATGGGTGTACTGTCAAGTCGGATTATTCAGATGAACATCCCGTTTCAGGGGCGTTTCCCTCGAACATGCCGATGAAGCCACGATCAATGCGCGACACGGAGACCTCGAGAAAATTGTGGATCATCCCCGGCACATTTCTGAGGTTCGGATTGCCCCAGGAGAGCCACCATCACCATCAACTGCATCCACACTCCATGAGAGTGACAACAGAAATCAAAGCTCTGCACAAGGCCCGTGTGGTGTCTTTGATCCATCCGTCGGACAAGCTGGTGTAAGCAGCGTAATGGCTGAGGGTCTGTGGCGAGGGCCAAGCGCTGATCAGGATGTTCGATTTTCGGATAAGGACACGAAGCTCCTGAAGACACAGCGATTCGCAAAAATATTTGATAAACCTGTAAGCAATATCCTTTACTCCTGCAATGCGAAGTAGTGTGGGCTTTTTCGTCACCTGATGGATCGTTTCTTGCAGGTGGATATGAAGAAGGTGAAGAAGGAAGTAATTTACCCGTGGATTGCTAGAAGAGTGACTGAGCTCCTTGGAGTTGAAGATGAGGTTCTAATCAATTTCATTTTTAGTCTACTCCAAGACGAGGTGAGCTTTATTTCCGCTGGAAATTTTTCTCTACAAATTTTGTTCTAATATTGCGGTTTGTTGTATATTACAGACTATGAAATGCGATCGGGCTGTGCTTTGTTTAGTGAAACGCACCTTACGCTATATTTCACGTTTTATGATGACAGGTGGATCCCAAACGCATGCAGATACAGCTGACAGGGTTCCTGGAGAATCACACGACTACTTTCATGAAGGAATTATGGAAAATCCTCCGTAACGCTCATCGCAATGAGCACGGGATTCCGCAGAAACTTCTGGACGAATTCGCCGAGGAGAATGGATTAATTGTAAGACTGCAGTGTGGTTTCTCTCTGCTCAAACATAATCTGTGCATTTTACTGCAACTCATGATTTAATCTGTTTTTTCATTCAGCCCACTGAGGTGGGAGACGCGAGAAAAAAGGCGCTGGAAGCTGCTGCAAAGCTCTCCTCAGATATCTTGGAGGAGTCTCAAAAGGAACGCGGGACGAAAGAAGACCACAATGTTCCGCCGATCGACAGAGATGCTGATTTACAGAGAAGCAACCGAAGCAATAATTTCCACGCACATGACGATGACTGGAGAAGGTATTTTCCCAGTCATCATTCATCACAATCCTCTCGCACAGTGGCCATTTTTCTGACTCTCACTGTGTTTTTTGTTTTTTCAGGAAGCGCTCTCTCAGTGCAGCTGAACGACGGGATTTTAATACGCACAAGCGTAGAAGGTTCTCCAACCATCATGGAAATCGTTACAATCACGGAGATCGATTTCCAGCCAATAGTACCCATCGCTTTGGTCGATCGTCTGACTCTCACCAACAGCCTCAATGGCATCGCAACTTACGACGTAATAACTGCAACCAACCACAATCATGCTCGTCGGGGAAAGCTTACAAAAGGGAGGGTACTGGAAGGTCTTTCCGAAGCAACAACTCTAACCAGCGTATTTCCGCCACATACGCACCTGGATTCAACCGCTCGCGGCATGGGACTAATTCACTGGCAGAGCTGAATGTCAACATTGAACGGCAAATGACGTACCCTCCTGGATTTGAGAAAAAAAACGACGCTGAGCTTCACGACCCCCAATCACCACCCCCGGGATTTGAATGTCGTCGAGAATGCCGTTCTCAGATCCAACCAAGGTAAGAAGCGACCTATTCAATGCTTTAAGCCTCTATTAGGCTGGAATTCATTGCTGATGTTCTCTCGTCTTTGATTCCAGGAGTTTCAAGAGGCATTTTTCTCCTCACTTCAGTCGGAAGAGCCAGCCTGATGCGCGTCAGGGTTTTGAAGGGCCATGCGACGAAGCTAAGCACGGAGGACAGCCTCGGCGCACTGAGGACACTGCTGTAGCTACTCCTGTCGCTGCTCAGGTTGAAAACCATCTGTGTGCTGGTGCGGAACATCCTGCTGGTGGATCTGTGCAGGACATTGGAGGTGGAACTGTTCAAGTTGCTGTTGACGGCGAAAGGTTTGTTTCTCAAGCTGCTTTCAGTACTGCACGAGCCTCTTCTGAAGCCTTGGCTGCAAAAGCTTGTGGACTGGAAGATGCTGCTGATGGACAGGCCAAGTTGTATGGAAGGCCCAACCAGAAGAATTTCAGTCACCAGGTTGAAGACATGGACATTTCATCTGAAGATGAGTCGTCTGTGAAGAAGGGCGTGGTGGATTCAGCAGGCTCCGCAGGAGAGTGGGAGGGCATGGAGACAAGGGACGAGAGGAAGGCAAGGAAGAGGGAAAGGCGGCGCCAGAAGGAAGAGAAGAGGGCACGGAAGGAGGAGAGACGGAAGAGGAGGCAGGAGAAGCGGCAACGTAAGGCAGAGAAGCAGGCTGCCAGGGAGGCGAGCAAGAAGGCAGAGAGGGCTGGAGATCATTCAGAAGACTGGGTGCCCCTCCCAGTGATGGAACCTGAAGCGTTGAAGCAAGATGCGGAGATTCACATATGTTCCCAGGATTTTGAGGAGCGAGACAGGAGGTGGCTCGACACTGTGCTCCTGGATGGTCCTGCTGACATTTCACAACCTGAGGACCCTGATTGGTGTTCCATGCCGAAGCTGGCAGCAGCAGGCAAGGCTGTGATGGAATCTCAGGATCATCACAAGACAATCACTGCAGATGAACAGCGGAAAGCAGATCTGGAGAGGGATTTGAGGATGAAGGTGATGCATTCTTTCCAAGCAAGGCGCCTGACAGTTGGAGATGGTGCTTGCTAGTAGTAGACAATGAGAACACCATGCCAGACATTCACAACTACCGTATGTTTCAGTTCTTAGGTCTAGTTAGCTCATTCAGAAGTTTGATTATGGTACTCTTTAACTCCATCAGAAGTCAGATTACATTCTTTATGGATATTGACATGCGCCAAATGCACGTACCCCGCTCTCGCTGGAGCTCTTTTCAACAAATGTGGGGGAGGATGTGCTATACACTCCTGGGCGTTGCACAAATAATGCTCATTCCATCGACGTCAGCCAAGGGGTTCAGACATAGAGAACCCTAACGGATGGACAATGTGCAGAGCAAATCAAGTGGACCTTGCTTAGTCGAACAGGCTGAAACCCATATCCTGCACATTGTAAAAGACGGGTAAGGCACATGGAACCAAAATTGCTATAAGGACTACCACAACGGGCTGCTAGGGAGCTAACGATTCACTGCTAAAAGCCTGCGCGAAAAGGTAGTCGACCCGTAATGTCATTTACTCGAAGTAAATAACCATCACCTGCTCCCCTCTCCACGGTAAGACTGCTCGGATCCATATACTACCAGCTTCCAACTCTCCTTAAAAAGCTCCCTCTGGCCGAGCGAGAAGCGATGCTAAAATCATGCTAGGACTACGCAAAGAGACAGCCAGCAGTCGGTCTTGAAGTGCAACTAAACCCCCTCCTGATTATAATTTCTGACCAGCTGTGCAAGTCGCTGTCTCGCTCTATCTAACCGGCCACGCTTCTTGGCAATAGATACGACGCGTTTCGGAAAAAGGATAAAAGACGGGGATTGAAGGGAAAGGGACAGCAGCATCCAGCATATGAGAAGTAGACGGACGGGGGGGAGGGGGGGGGGACGACGTGGATTAAGCAACAAAGCAGCATTGGAGATGAAACGAATGGTACGTACGTCGTCAGACTCTTCCTTCTCCTCCTCCTTCTTCTCCTCCTTCTTCTCCTCAGCGGGGGCAGCAGCAGCGGCAGCGCCACCGCCTGAAGCGGCAACGGCGACTCCGCCACCGCTGGGCACCGCGGCGAACTTCTCTCGGCCGGCCGCGATGACCTCGTTGATGTCCTTGCCCTCCAGCTGCTTCAGCAGCAGGTCTATCCTGTCATCATCGGCCTCAGCGCCAACTGCGGGATCACGGGATTAAGAAAATGGCGGGCCCACGACGGGGGAGTGGGGGGAGGGGGATGTGGCGGGGAGGGAGAAGGAGGCGGAGAAAGACCGACGAGTTAGGGTTAGGGAGGTCACGAAATTTGCGAAAAAAAACTAAGGATACTACGATCAGAAAGCCCGCCAATATCTTCTTTGATTTTAAGCTTCACGTGTATCGTAAAAAACCGAACAAATCGTGTCCCTATAAACCCTGAAGCGCGACGCGAGATCGGGAGGGTTAGCGAGAACATGCCTGACGAGAGAATGCTCTTGATATCGGCAGCGGCGGGGCTCGCGTTGCCTCCGAGAAGCGCGAGGAGGTAAGCCGCGACAACCTTCATTGTGGCTGTTCGGGTGGAGTTGAGCACGTGCGACTAAGGGAGGAGTAGGAGTGGTGGGGTAAAGGCAGAAAGGAGGGCGAAAGGATCGCAGTTATGCTGCTATTGGGGCTTTGAGAGAGTGCGCAGGTAAGATGAGCAAGGGAGAAACGCGAGGGGAGGGAGGGGGAGAATGGGGAGATCCGCTGTTCCGGGGGTGGGGGGAAAGAGAAGGTGGGCTTGCGCGTACAGCGAGGGCAGATTTTCCCAGCTTGGCGGAAAAGGTTACAGCTGCGGGAGGGCAAGTGCTGCTTGCTTGCGGTGAGTTGGGGGTTGGGGGGGCTAGCTGACGTGGTCAGCCACAGCTGTACCGTATAGCGAGTGTGACCCAACATCACTGCCCTTGCTGATGTTTTCTGCAGAACTTCAGTTTAAGAGTGTACGAATCTCATTCTGGGCTCCTTGAGTGTAACGCAGCTCTTTGAAGCGAATCAGCAAAAAGTTGTGTGTTCCCTCGGTTGTTTCGGGCTTCTGTTTCGGCCTATCCGCAGTCTGCATGCAGAGGGTAACCACTAAGGAGTCAAGCATGGTGCAAAAGGATAGAACACGTTTTTCGTGCGGTCTGAGGAAATAAACAGAGATCTAGGCCAAGCCTCACTTAATCCTCTCGCAAATAGATATTCCCAAGGTTGCTCTGCCTAATTGCTGGTGGTAGGGTTTCTTGCTGCTCTCGCCAGAGCGCCACCTCCTTGCGTGAACATGGCGCCATCCGGATCGGGCTGTCGACTAGACGCAGGATAAGGGACATTGCGATAAGACTCTTTCACGGCCTATTTTTAGCGTCGACCTTTTCGTTTACCAGATCTGCGATCTGAATCGGGGTTACGTGCTTTTTCGAGACTTGAGATCGGTGACCCACCTTATCTTCGCAAATTCTTTCTTTTTAGATATCTTTAATTTTAGCCGTCATCCGTTTAGTTAGACGTTTTTAGGTCGTCTTTTCTCCGGAATTACCGTCGTTTTCCTTTCACGGAGCCATGGCGGGCCGCTACCCTTATTCCGGTCCGGGGAGCAGCAGCCAGCAGCAGCAGCATGCGCCACCTCCGAATTCCGAAGCCGCGTTGGAGGAGAAGGCGAGGAAGTGGCAGCAGTTGAACCAGAAGCGGTACGCGGAGAAGCGGCGGTTCGGGTACGTGGAGCACCAGAAGGAGGACATGCCGCCCGAGCACGTGCGCAAGATCGTGCGCGACCATGGCGACATGAGCTCGCGCAAGTTCCGCCGCGATAAGCGCGTGTACCTCGGCGCGCTCAAGTTCGTGCCGCATGCGGTGCTGAAGCTTCTTGAGAACATGCCGATGCCCTGGGAGCAGGTGGGCTTGCCTTTCTTCTTTCTTTATTCTTTCCTTTCTTCCGTTCAATTTCCACTGTTTCTCTTATTGTTCTGCTTTGACTAAGTCATTCACTCAGAATTTGTCGATTTTATTTGCAAATTGCTTCCTTTCTCATCAATTTCGATTGGTCTTTGTAGTTTTGTTTATTCCACCCTTCTTTCTATTCTTCCATCGCTCAGTCTTCCTTCTTTTTCCCGTCTGATCGATTTCATCCGTTGATTTGGTCACGGCCTGTCTCCAATTCCGTTTGCCGTGCCATCGTGCGAATTTCCGCTGCTTCCTTCGTTTCTATGTTCCCTCGCATCCCCTCCGTCCATCAGGTGCGGCACGTGAAGGTGCTGTACCACATAACGGGCGCGATCACTTTCGTGAACGAGACGCCGCTGGTGATTCCGTCCGTGTACATGGCGCAGTGGGGCACCATGTGGATCATGATGCGCCGCGAGAAGCGCGATCGCCGCCACTTCAAGCGCATGCGCTTCCCGCCCTTCGACGACGAAGAGCCGCCGTTGGATTACGCCGAGAACGTGCTCCACGTGGACCCGCTGGATGCCGTCCAATTGGAGCTCGACGAGGAGGAGGACTCGGCGGTCTACGATTGGTTCTACGACTCCAAGCCGCTTGTCAACACGCGATTGGTCAACGGGCCGAGCTACCGCAAGTGGGAGCTGAGCGTCCCGATCCAGGCGACTCTCTTCCGCCTAGCGGGTCAGCTTCTATCGGATCTGATCGACGAGAACTACTTCTATCTCTTCGACCTCAACTCGTTCTTCACGGCGAAGGCGCTCAACATGTGCATCCCGGGCGGGCCCAAGTTCGAGCCGCTGTTCCGCGAGAAGCCCGAGGCGGAGGAGGACTGGAACGAGTTCAACGACATCGGCAAGCTCATCATCCGCACGCCCATCCGCACCGAGTACCGCATCGCCTTCCCCTGGCTCTACAACTCCCGCCCGCGCAAGGTCGCCGTGCAGGCCTACCACACGCCGCAGGTGAGGCAGCTGGAGAGACTGGGGCTGGGGCTGGGGCGGGGGCGGGGGCGGGGGCGGGGGCGGGGGCTGGGTGCTGCGTGCTGGGTGCTGGGTGCTGGGTGCTGGGTGCTGGGGGGGGGGCGCGGGGGCGGGGGCAGGGGCTGCGACTCCTCATGCAAACCCGTGCCCATGGTTGCCTTTTCTCACTTGCCCGTCTATGCTCACTTGTGCATCCTCCACCCCACTCGCCCCCCCTTCCTTCACTCCCGACTCCACTTGCAAACCATTTCCTTTCGTTGCCTTCCCTCACTTGCCCGTCTATACTCGTGTTTGCTTCTCCCCTCCCACCCGCCCCCCGTCCTCCCCCCGCTCCCTTACTCCTGACTCCACTTGCAAACCCTTGCCCGTGGTTGCTTTCTCTCACTTGCCCGTCTATACCACTTGTCTTTTCTCCACCACACTCGCCTTTCTACTACTAACCTTACCCATCCCCCCTTTCCTCTCCCTCCCCTACCCCCCCCCCCCCCCTTCCCTCTCCCACCCTCCCACCCACCCCTTCCGCCCCCCCCCCCCCCCCCAACCCCCCCCCCCCCCCACCCCCCCCCCCCCCTACACCCCTCTTCCCCCCATCTACCCCTCCTACCCCTGTCCCCCCCCCCTCTCAGGTCATGTACATCAAGTCAGAGGACCCGGACCTGCCCGCCTTCTACTACGACCCGCTCATCCACCCCATCCCGCACTACCGATCCGAGTCCCGAGCCTCGCGCGCAGCCCTGGAAGAGGAACTGGAGGAGGAGGAATGGACGCTCCCCGAAGGCGTCGAGCCGCTCCTCTCCTCCACGCCGCTCTACACCGACGCCACCGCAGCCGGCATCGCGCTGCTGTGGGCGCCGTACCCCTTCAACCGACGCTCCGGGCGGACCAGGAGGGCCGAGGATATCCCGCTGGTGGCGGGGTGGTTTAAGGAGCACTGCCCGCCGAATCACCCGGTGAAGGTCCGCGTGAGTTACCAGAAGCTGCTGAAGCTGTGGGTGCTGAACGAGCTGCACAAACGGCCGCCGAAATCGCACAAGAAGAGGGACCTGTTTCGCGCGCTGAAGCAGACCAAGTTCTTTCAGTCCACGGAGTTGGACTGGGTGGAGGCTGGTTTGCAGGTGTGCCGGCAGGGGCATAACATGCTGAACCTGCTGATCCACCGCAAGAGCCTGCACTACCTTCACCTGGATTACAACTTCAACCTCAAGCCTGTCAAGACCCTCACCACCAAGGAGCGGAAGAAGTCCCGATTCGGCAACGCTTTCCATTTATGTCGGGAGATCCTGCGGCTGACGAAGCTGGTGGTGGACGCGCACGTGCAGTACCGGCTGGGGAACGTGGACGCGTTTCAGCTCGCCGACGGGTTACAGTACATCTTCTCCCACGTGGGGCAGCTGACCGGCATGTACCGGTACAAGTACCGGCTGATGCGGCAGGTGCGCATGTGCAAGGACCTCAAGCACCTCATCTACTACCGCTTCAACACGGGCCCGGTCGGGAAGGGGCCGGGGTGCGGGTTCTGGGCTCCCGTGTGGCGCGTGTGGCTGTTCTTCCTGCGCGGGATCGTTCCCCTGCTGGAGCGGTGGCTGGGGAACCTGCTGGCGAGGCAGTTCGAGGGGCGCGCGAGCAAGGGCGTGGCAAAAACCCTCACCAAGCAGCGCGTGGAGAGCCACTATGATCTCGAGCTGCGGGCCGCCGTGATGCACGACATTCTCGACATGATGCCGGAGGGGGTGAAGCAGAACAAGTCGCGCACCATCCTGCAGCATCTGTCGGAGGCGTGGCGGTGCTGGAAGGCCAACATCCCCTGGAAGGTGCCCGGGCTGCCAGCGCCCATCGAGAGCATGATCCTGCGGTACGTGAAGATGAAGGCGGACTGGTGGACCAACGTGGCGCATTACAACAGGGAGCGCATTCGGCGCGGGGCGACGGTGGACAAGACGGTTTCGCGGAAGAACCTGGGGCGGCTCACGCGGCTGTGGCTGAAGGCGGAGCAGGAGCGCCAGCACAACTACCTCAAGGACGGCCCGTACCTGTCGCCGGAAGAGGCCGTCGCGATCTACACCACGACTGTTCACTGGCTGGAATCGCGTAAGTTCCAGCCGATTCCCTTCCCTCCTCTCTCCTACAAGCACGACACGAAGCTGCTGATTCTCGCGCTGGAGCGCCTCAAGGAGCCGTACAGTGCGAGCGTGCGGCTGAACCAGCAGCAGAGGGAAGAGCTGGGGCTCATCGAGCAGGCCTACGACAACCCGCACGAGGCGCTCTCCCGCATCAAGCGGCATCTGCTCACGCAGCGCGCCTTCAAGGAGGTCGGCATCGCGTTCTTCGACCTGTACACGCACCTCGTTCCTGTGTACGACATCGAGCCTCTGGAGAAGATCACTGATGCGTACCTGGATAACTACCTGTGGTACGAGGCGGATAAGAGGCGGCTGTTTCCCAACTGGGTGAAGCCGGCTGACACGGAGCCGCCGCCGCTGCTGGTGTACAAGTGGTGCCAGGGAATCAACAACCTGCATAACGTGTGGGAGACGGAGGACGGGCAGTGCGTGGTGCTGCTGCAGTCGCGCTTCGAGAAGCTCTTCGAGAAGGTGGATCTGACGCTCCTGAACCGGCTGCTGCGGCTCATCTGCGATCACAACCTGGCGGACTACATGACGGCGAAGAACAACGTGGTGCTGAGCTTCAAAGACATGTCCCACACCAACACGTACGGGCTGGTGCGCGGGCTGCAGTTCGCGTCCTTCATCACGCAGTACTACGGGCTCGTGCTGGACCTCCTGCTGCTCGGTCTCACCCGTGCGAGCGAGATCGCCGGCCCGCCGCAGCTCCCGAACGAGTTTCTCACCTTCCGCGAGGTGAAGACGGAGACGCGGCACCCGATCCGGCTGTACTCGCGCTACATCGACCGGTTCCACATGCTCTTCGTCTTCACGCACGAGGAGGCGCGGGATCTCATTCAGCGGTACCTCACGGAGCATCCGGATCCGAACAACGAGAACATGGTGGGGTACAACAACAAGAAGTGCTGGCCGAGGGACGCGCGCATGCGGCTGATGAAGCATGATGTGAATTTGGGAAGGGCGACGTTCTGGGAGGTGAAGAACCGGCTGCCGAGGAGTTTGACGACGCTGGAGTGGGAGGAGAGCTTCGTGTCGGTGTATTCCAAGGACAACCCGAACCTGCTGTTCAGCATGTCCGGGTTCGAGGTCCGGATTCTGCCGCACGTGCGCATGTCGGCTCGGGAGACGTTCGGGCAGAAGGACGGCGTGTGGGCGCTGCAGAACGAGGCAACCAAGGAGAGAACCGCGCAGGCCTTCCTCCGCGTGGACGACGAGCATCTGAAGCTGTTCGAGACCCGCGTGCGGCAGATCCTCATGTCTTCTGGCTCCACCACGTTCACCAAGATC